TATGCATTTAAAATAAAAACTGATTATGAATGTCGATCATAACAATATCGTTTAAACTGTATCTATCTTAGAATGTGCTTCGAATAAAGTTTTTGATAATTGTAGGAAGATCAAAAATATAAAATAAAAAGATAAACATATGCCTGTATTTATAGTCAAGTTTTATATTTAAGGCTTCCTATCTACATTTATCTTTAGCTGCTCTACGAATTATTTTATTGATTATTGAGCACCTAAAAATAAATTTAAGGAAGCCTTAAATATAAGATCTAACTATGAATACGGACAATAGGTTTTCTTATTGTCATTTAAATGATTTTAAACATAAGAATCAATTGTAAATATTATTTAAAAATAGTCTTAAAAGAATCCTAAAGTGAAATCCGAATTCCGATAAGATCACTGTTTTACTGATAAAATGACAGCAACAAAATTTTATATGTATATATACACCACATATATATAGATTTTCGTAGAATAATAACATTTTAATTAGACGTCTAAATTTAATTCTAAGAATATCACGTTATTTGTTCATATATATAAATTGTCAATCTGTGGATCACAATTTCGTAAGTACAAATTGCAAAGCTTTTATATCAAGCAAATATTATTAGATATTGACAACTCCGATGCCATATTGGAGAAATGATAAAGAAGATCTCAATTTAAATAATTTTTTCGTTCTTGACATAAATTACTTCACAAACTCATTAACATGTGTATCTTGGAAAAGGATTTTTAAATTTGTAAAAGAGAAAAAAGGTAATTGTTATACAAAAATTATTGCATTTAATCGGTAATACAGATAATTTTAGGATTTTCTTAAGATATAATGAGTCAATTATCACAGGCTAATAGTCTATTCTTATTTTAAGATCATCTTAAGTCTTAAGAATTAAGATGTTAATGCGACTCTTGATTAAGATCATACTTAAGACTTAATTGACTTATATAAGAATTGACTATGAATAGAGAATGGAAATAAATTATTTTCGATTCAAATGAATTGTTATTGATTTATATTCATATGAATTT